ATATTTCCCTGTTTTTATTCCATGGAAGTCACTTAAAACCCTCCCTTGTGTAATATTCTCAGCCGTTTTGGCCTGGTTGCCATTGCAAAATAACGTCTTGAGCTCGGTGGGCCTTACCCAAAATAAACCGACTGACTGACATAGACCCTGCAGAGGGACCAGTCTGTCTAGAGTCCACATCAGAAACCGGTCTGTCAGTCTGTCGTTCTCCCAATGACCCAAAAAGCCAAGGGACTAGAATAAGAAGCAGAGGACTGAACAGTGAAGTTTGACGAGGCAACGTTTTATTCAATTACTGTAAGTGTAACGGATAACGTTTCACTTGCCCCACATAACCTGCAGGCTCGGAAATTGCATATGTGCCCCAACATTCACTAATAGACAACATCTGTAGTAACCTCATCCATTCATATTTCCTGAGTTTCTGTATTGTTCATATTTTGGCATTATTTTTATATTTCACTGTTTTTTGCATGTACTTTAGTAGGGTTTATGATGGGTGGGACACGTGTGCTGAGCAGAGGAGGGCAGGATACTCAGGCAGTTGAGTGGCACCCAGAGGTTGGCAATCAAGGGGCCTTGCGTTGGCTGTATAATAGGAAAGACATAATGGCAGATAATGGCAGTGGGACTGTGAGAGTGGTGATGATGGATGCATTGTATGTCACAACATCAAGCCTGACCTCTGGATTGTGGTGAGGATATTTTATGAGTGGTCCTTGGAGGTCTGGTGTCGACTGCATCTCAAATATGCCACCCGTTTGTATGGAGGTGCATAAATCCCTATATAAATAAGTGGGTATTCTTTAGCAGTCCAGGAATCGTCGAAATAATCCCCATTCATGCCAATGCATCTGTAATCAAGCGAATGGGATTCTAGTCGTGAGTTGGAACGATCGCCACTAGATGGCGCACACATGTTGTTTTGGTACCATTGATGCAAGTGGAGCTTTGAATGTGGGAATCGTCCAGAGAAGAATCGCAATTCCTGCTTTAAACATCCACAGTGAAAATCCTGGGATTTGATTACAATGCCTTCAGGAATTGCCCAATACTAAGCACCGTGTGCGGTTTCACACCTCTGAGCATGGTTAGTTACGTACGGTGCGAAAGAAGTTCAACATACATACACCACCACAAACCACACATTAACACACCATCACAAACAACACAGTTGCACATCGTCTAACACACCACCACAAGCCACACACCATCACACATCACCACATACCACCCACACCTCTACGCCACTAGAGTCTAACACACAACAATACATACCTCGACCATACACACAACCCCACCTCACTTGACCATAGTCCTCCATACCGAACCAATGCTAACACACCTCGGCACAAAAACCAATATCATCCAATACCACTGTATACATGACAACACACACCAACTCGTACAACTGCTCCTCCATATCCACACGCACAACCACTCTCAACCCAACGTCGACTGCACACCAAAACCCCACTAGCACCCACCTCCACACACAACCCATGTCACCACCGCTCACCAACGCTCACCACCACCGTACACCACCAGGCCTCCCCACACCTTCCCCTACCAATCATTTCCAGATGTGGACTCTGTGCAGGAGTCTGCATTGGAGGTGGGAGAGGGGATGGCGGTGGTGGAATTTGGGCTGTTTTGATATATTTTATATCACATACCTCTCATTTATTTTCTTCTGGTCTCGTTTTGTTTTAACAACTCCTGGCGGTTTTAAAATGCAAGCATTTCTTTAATCGCATCAAGTTTTATATATAAACACACATTGTGATATACATACTTACATAAAAGTTCCCTGGGAACCGTGAAGAAAAGAATGTTTAGATGAGTGCTGTTAACGAGCGCGTGAAGAGGTATTATGGCAAATTCCATGCCCGGCCTCCTTTGTCTCCCTCATTCCAAAACGTTCGCACTGCACACGGTCCTCATTATTAAGGCAGACTTGGCCTTGTCAAAACAACAAATTAAAATAACGTAGCATCGAAACATCTATAATCCATTAAATACTGTTGGTACAGATCGTTCACTTGTACTGTGAGTCCCCAAATGCTTTACATGATGGCAAGATGTTAACTACCTCTCCTGGTATACAGTAGGGTCGTTGGGTTCGATCCCGACCCTGACCCCTGTATATTTGGAGTTTGCATGTCTCTCGTGGTAGCGTGGATTTTTCTCTGGGTCCTCCAGTTTCTCCCTCCACATTTATAATGAATATGCATGTAGATTATTTGGCTGCTATTAATTTACACAAGTCACTTCGTTGAGCTATCACTTTCAGAAGCCAGATCGCTTCCGAAAAAGAGTTATATATCTCAGTGGACCTTACCTGGTAAAATAAAAACAGTTAGTTAAGATGTTTGCACCTTTCAATACGTCACTTACCGTGATGTCAATGGAGTGCTGCTGATTATGATTTTAAGTTGCTTCACGCAGTTCAGACTTCGTGTGTGTTTTTGCATAAACATTTGCAACACGCTGATTGTTCGTAGAAAAATGTAATCAATTGGGATTATATGTAGCAATCATCGCCCCCTACTCCTAAAACTTAGAACCATCCTGAAAGATAGGCACGAGACTGAGGGGTTCTTCCTGGGTAATCAAGTGTTATAATAATACCATATGGACAATCCTCGACTTATGAACATAATCCGTTCCTGAGGCCCGTTCATAAGTCCGAACACAATCATGTACGATATTTAAATGCTCACGTGGTCGGTGTTATGAAATGTTACGGTTCAGAAGAAAAGGGAAGCATTGTTAAACTCATAAATAAAAATAAACATTGTACATTTCCATGTAATATTTTAATAAATACTGTATAGTAAATAAAACATAAAATAAAGTAACATAAGTAGAATTTTTTTAATTTTCACTTACCTTGAGTCCTGATGCTGGCTTGCATGTCGGAAGATGTGCAAGGAGTCACCACAATTGCACACACACACGTTATACGCGCATGCACAAAAGACAAAGACATACGACAAAGATCCCCCGTATAGCCTTTACAGACTGTTCGGGCAAGTGTTGTTCGCGAGCACCTATGAAGGCGAGCACGGCACACGAGGGGGTGGGTGGCCAACACCACACCCGGCCGCCTTTGTCTCCCCAGTGATGATATGTACACACCAGATACTCATTTGAGGCAGTCAGCCTAGGGGGGAGGCCCATGACCAGTTCAGATAATCTTCACTGGTATTGGTCGTGAGCGGGAATCGAACTCAGGTCGACGGGTTCGTAGCGCAGCACGCCAACTTCTTCACTCTTTTCAAACACACACTTTCGCGCGCAAACACTCACTCCCAGTGCAAGTCTGGCTCGTTACGTCTCGCGGAGGATCACTCCGCTGAACAAAATAGTTTTGCAGCTCAGTTTACAAGTGCGAGTTTGCAATGTAAGTCGGTGTAAAAAAAAAAAAACGGTATTTCATGGAAGCTGGTTCGTAAGTGTGGGTGTTCATAGGTCAGGTGTTTGTAAGTCGAGGACGGCATGTAATACGTTTGTGGGAGTGTAGCACAGTGGGTTATCACACTGCTATGAAACTGGAGACGTGAGTATGATGCCTGGCCATGGCTAACATCAATAACGAATTATATCTGACCCAGTCATAGGCATGCTCCACTTCACCATTCGGCACTGGTCAGCGTGGTTAAGCATGAGAAGGCCTTCATCCAGCATTGGTTTGACAAAGGGCCGTAGACTCCAGCAATTAAATGTTGGCTAATTGAAACGCAACGTTTTGGCTTTAAACGCATCTTTTATACAGTCATACCTCGGTATACGACCGCTTTGGAATACGTTTGATTTTGGTATACGTCGTGTTTTGACGAGAAAAAAATGTCTTGGGATACGACTTCTTGCTTTGGGATACGAGGCGCTTGCTAGAACTTGTATGGGTCGGGGATGAGTCACCGCGTACCCACGTATACCCCGTTCACGACTGAGACACAGCGCCGCGCCTCAGTCTGTAGGCTATCAACTCCTCTCGGCAAGGTTAAATGATGTAAAATTTTACGTTTATTTCAGTTTATTTTAACGTATGCATTTTAGTAATAAGTAGTGTCTACATTATGTTATACAACCCCATTAATGTATAATATGCCATATAAAATGTAATTTCTTATACTCTGGAACGGATTATTTCCTTTCATTGTATTTCTTATGGGTAAAATTCGTTTGGTAGACGTCATTTTCGGTATAAGTCCTACCTTCTGGAACGAATTATCGACGTATACTGCATTTTGTTACCACTATGCCACTTCCCATGTGCTCCACAGTCTCACGCCATCTACTGGTTACCCGTTGTGTAGCAGGCACTACCTGCAGCTTTCCAAACGATTCAGAAATGTCCCAGTGTCGAGTCCTCCGACTAATTCACCTTCCCTGCAATTCACTAAATTCCCACGATTCATGGTCACGATTTAATTCTAAGATTGTACTTTCGTCTACATTATTCACTTCCCGTTTCTTCAAAGTTTCGGTATCAAAATATGGTTGCGTATAAACTGCAAAAGTCTAAATCTGTCTCTTCTGTCCAGTAACATTTGGTCCGGAGGGTGGTTGATGGCTGCACTCCCACCTGCACTGCCACAGATTTGTATTAAGCTTGTTGACTGAGGAAAGATTCAGTCTCAAGACTCTCTTTCAGGAGGGTCCCACCAAGTTTTTTTGTAGTGGTGGCCGATGTTGCTGCTGTGTGCCATCCCAATTGAGCAATTTTCAGGTAGTTTATCAGCACTCGGATCTTTGGCCAATACACAATGTACATTGTTTGTTTTTAGTTATAGGAGGAAACTGGAGAATCCGGAGGAAACCTATGGAGAACGGTGGGAGAATATAATACGCCATACAGATAGGCGCTCGAGTAGGAATCAAACCCAGGCCCTTGATGCTATGAGACACAATTGTCACCACTGAACTGCCATCCTTGCCACCCAGGTTAACGTCATACCCCAGGATGTTGAATCATTCTTAATTGTTCACCACAGCTGCCCGGCCGATGGACAAGGACGCGAGCGCTGGTGGTGGTGGTGGGACCTCTGGAACAGCCAGCTGCGTTCCTGCTACTGCTGCTGCTGCTGTTCCGGCTGCCGGGGCAGGTGGCGCCGTTGCCACGGCGACCAACGGTGCCGCCGCTGCTGCTGCCAATGGGACGGCGGCGGCAGTCGGGGTGGGGGCGGCACGGTCGGCACAGATCTCGGTGTACGGCGGCCTGACTGACCGGCAGACGGTGCAGGTGAGAGAGCGAGGGCCGGGGCTGCTTTCACACAAAGATGAAATAAGACAACTCTTACTCTGTGGATGTACACAATTAGGCTGCGCATGTCCCCTGGGTCTGATGCTTTGTTAATGACTAAAGGAAAAGGATCTAGTCATGGTCATCTGACTTCAACGTAAACTTGAACCTACAACCTCAACACCAAGCCTAATACTCATACTGACCCTCGCAGTGATTGAATGATTTGTCACAATTTAGGATCATTAATTGATCCAATAACTAATTGTTTTGTATTTTTTTATTGATTTGTTGTTACTGTTTGCCTTTGTACTGTCTCAGCTTGTACGGGCTATCTTGTCTCTACTGTTGGTCTCCTCAGCACTGATGCACCTTTGCCTCGTTGTAATTGCCTGTCATTATAATTGCTTGTGACAATTATATTGTCCATCCCATTTGTACCATGCGTCTTATCTCTACTGTTTTCGTTAGCCTCGTTATGTAACGTCCCGTTTGTTGTCCGAGGCATTTGTAGTGTCTTTTGTCTCGTATTGTCTCATCTGTGTTGTCTTGTCTCGTGAGCGCCATATCGTTGTCACTGTGGCATTTGAACTCTTGGTCTTGTCGAGACTATTTGTCTCACTTGTACTCTATCATACTGCCAGTCTGGTTTGTGCTCCACATTTTCAATTGTTCAGTCTCATTTCTTCTATTGGCACAAAGACTAACGCTTGCATTTAACTTGCACAAAACATGAACAATCAACTCTCACTCCTACGATTCGTTGCACGTGCCGTGAGCGAGACCATCGCTTTTGATCCATGAATTGTCTCGTGCCCGCTCTGCAATGAAAGTACGGTGTCTCTTATGATTGGATGGTCTTGAGACAATAGCTGTAGATGGCGTGAGCTCATGGGTGGCTGAGTCCCCTAGCGTTTGACTGATGTGTTGCACGAAAGAACAACGGGGCTTGCGCGTGTTAAGTATTTTATTATTTTGCGTCGATCTAGGACCAATAATTAAAATAATAGGCTCCCTTGCCTATAACATCTGGCTTTCACCAGTATTGATTCAAGAAAGCCTGGCTACTGATTACACACTACGTTGAAACTGGTCCAGTTTGCTCGTATTGAATCAATATGCCTAAAAATATGCCCTCCTAAAAGGGCATGGGGTTCATAAATGGTGTAAAGTAAATAATTTAGTTTTTTTTATGTGGAGAGACGGACATCTGAAAGAGATTCTTTTGCGTGCTTATCAATGCTGTTATTTTCTTCTCCACAGTGACGCTCATGATATTGAGTTCAGTTTTTTCTCAAACTATTCATGTTGGCAACCCTCAGTGTCAGATCTGGAGGGGGTGGTGGAGAAAGGAATGGGGGTAATCCACTGTAATGTATATGCTGAATAACAGTGTACAGTACAAATGAAATATGACACGAGGTTTTATTTTTCATTTAAGCTGAAACGGTTGCATCAGGCCAATAGAGGGCAGTGCAGCAAATCCATTGTTCTACACTCCCATAACTCAACCCACACTAATCAGTACGGTCAAATATCCCTCATTCACTAGTACCTATGATCTTGACAATCTACGGCATGGGGAGGCTCTCATCCAGCAGTGGATTGACAAAAAAACATGGGCTGTACGTATACATTTGCTTGGAAAGTTAGAATAAAACTGCCAACTTGATGAGAATAAATGTAAAAAAAGTGAAATAGCTTGCCAGGTGAATTGGGTGAATCAAAATGAATTTTTATTTTAACTAGGTAAGGCCCACACTGAGCTATGTAGCTCTTTTTCAGAAGAGACCTAGCCACAAATGATCGCTCAACGAAGTGGCTTATCACGTGGAAATTTATGGCAGCCAAATAAAATGCATGTTGATTCTAAATGGGGAGGGGAAAATCTGACGATATCGGAGACTTTGAGTCAGCACAACTGAGATCCTGGGTGGGTATGTCTAAATGGGTTCATGATGGGCATATAGACAGAACAGACATCACTGAGATCATTAGTTTCAGGCACTTGGGCTGGTGTTTTCTATTCTCTATCATGAGGTTAATAAAGCCACCACCACTAACATGCTGGGTCGAAGCATCAGGTCTAGAGGTGTCTGTCCTTCTTTGTCTCATGGGGTTCATAGTGACTGTGGTAGACATTGAGCAGCACTGCCAAAGTCTGAGGTTCAAAGCCTGGGCCTGAGTCGTCTGTTTTTCCCATGCGGTTCATAATGGCCAGATATACTGAACCAGCACCATTACGATCCTGAGTTTGAGCTTTCACACTGGGTGTCTGTCTCAAGGGGTCCATAATGGCCTTGTCATAGAAATTGCGTCAGCACCGTTGCGCTCCTGAATTAAAGCCCTTGGTCTGAGTCTGTCTCTGTCTCAGGGGGTTCATAATGGCCTTGCCAGAAATAGTGACATTCTGCGTTCAAGGCTTCTGACTCGGTGTGATTATATCATGTGGTTATAATAGCCAGCGACAGCAAACCAACACTGCTAAGATAATATCGTCTTGGTAATTTAAATAATATGGTGACCAATAAGTCACTATTAGGGCATACAGTATAATATAAAAACTATTATTTTTAAAAGACACATGGAAGTGTTTTCCGAACTACACAACATTATTTGTCTTCCCATGCCCCGGCATGGCCCCTGCCATGGAAATATGGAATTTCCACTCTTGGCTCAAGGCCATCGGTTGAAGTAAACGCCGCTCCGCTTAACGTACAGTGAGGGGAAAAAAGTATTTGATCCCCTGCTGATTTTGTACGTTTGTCCACTGACAAAGAAATGATAAGTCTATCATTTAAATTGTAGGTTCATTTGAACAGTGAGAGACAGAATAACAACAACAAAATCCAGAATAACGCATGTCAAAAATGTTATAAATTGATTTGCATTTTAATGAGGGAAATAAGTACTTGACCACCTCTCATTCAGAAAGATTTCTGGCTCCCAGGTGTCTTTTATACAGGTAACGAGCTGAGATTAGGAGCACACTCTTAAAGGGAGTGCTCCTAATCTCAGTTTGTTACCTGTATAAAAGACACCTGTCCACAAAAGCAATCAATCAATCAGATTCCAAACTCTCCATCATGGCCAAGACCAAAGAGCTCTCCAAGGATGTCAGGGACAAGATTGTAGACCTACACAAGGCTGGAATGGGCTACAAGGCTGGAATGGGCTACAAGACCATTGCCAAGCAGCTTGGCGAGAAGGTGACAACAGTTGGTGCGATTATTCGCAAATGGAAGAAACACAAAAGAACTGTCAATCTCCGTCAGCCTGGGGCTCCATGCAAGATCTCAAGTCGTGGAGTTGTAATTATCATGAGAACGGTGAGGAATAAGCCCAGACCTAGACGGGAGGATCTTGTCAATGATCTCAAGGGAACTAGGACCATAGTCACCAAGAAAACAATTGGTAACACTACGCCGTGAAGGACTGAAATCCTGCAGCGCCGGCAAGGTCCCCCTGCTCAAGAAAGCACATATACATGCCCGTCTGAAGTTTGCCAATGAACATCTGAATGATTCAGAGGACAACTGGGTGAAAGTGTTGTGGTCAGATGAGACCAAAATGGAGCTCTTTGGCATCAACTCAACTCGCTGTGTTTGGCGGAGGAGGAATGCTGCCTATGACCCCAAGAACACCATCCCCACCATCAAACAAAGAGGTGGAAACATTATGCTTTGGGGGTGTTTTCTGCTAAGGGGACGGGACTTGACCGCATCAACGGGACGATGGACGGGGCCGTGTACTGTCAAATCTTGGGTGAGAACCTCCTTCCCTCAGCCAGGGCATTGAAAATGGGTCGTGGATGGGTATTCCAGCATAACAATGACCCAAAACACACGGCCAAGGCAACAAAGGAGTGGCCCAAGAAGAAGCACATTAAGGTCCTGGAGTGGCCTAGCCAGTCTCCAGACCTTAATACCATAGAAAATCTGTGGAAGGAGCTGAAGGTTCGACTTTTTTATTCACTTTAGCCTCGAAACCTTAATGACTTGGAGAAGATCTGCAAAGAGGAGTGGGACAAAATCCCTCCCGAGATGTATGCAAACCTGGTGGCCAACTACAAGAAACGTCTGACTTCTGTGATTGCCAACAAGGGTTTTGCCACCAAGTACTAAGTCATGTTTTACAGAGGGGTAAAATACTTATTTCCCTCATTAAAATGCAAATCAATTTATAACATTTTTGACATGCGTTTTTCTGGATTTTTTTTGTTGTTATTCTGTCTCTCACTGTTCAAATAAACCTACCAAATTATAGTCTGATAATTTCTTTGTCAGTGGGCAAACGTACAAAATCAGCAGGGGATCAAATACTTTTTTCCCTCACTGTAGGTAATGAAACCAGAAACCAAAGTGGTTTTCCCTGCCCAAGGCTGAGTTACAATGGGACGCCCAAATAAGGGATGGAATGTGAACTGTGACCCTAGATTTTACGCAGTGGCCTTTGCCCCTGCTGCCCCATCCCCTTCCTCTGCCGCAGCCCCTCCCCTTGCTCCTTCCCCCACGGCCCCCTCTCTCCCCATAACCCCCACCCCCCAGTGCCCCTCCCCCACCCCCAGTGTCCCCTCTGTGCCAAGCGGGCACGTGAGGGACTCTCATTGTTCCCAGCGAACACCAACTCCTCTTTCAAAGAGCCTTGCTCGCTTTCTCTTGGCTACCTCCATCTTTGGCAGGGCTTACACAGCGTGCCCGTGTAACGGTGAGCGAGGGTGATGTGTGCGCGTGTGTGGTGCACGTGTGTGTCTGTGGTGCACGTGTGTGTCTGTGGTGCACGTGTGTGTCTGTGGTGCACGTGTGTGTGTGGTGCACGTGTGTGTGTGTGAGGCGCGTGAGTGCTTTGTGGCATGTGTGGTGTACGTGTGTGTGGGCTGCATGTCTATGAGGTGTGTTTTATTGTATGTAATACGCGCGCGCGTTTGTGCAACACGTGTGTTTGTTTTAGTATGTGAGCGAATAGGTGTGTAGTACGTGCTTGTATATGACCTGTGTTTG